AGCATCATTCGATAGCCAGAAGTTATAGGGCCATGAGAGAGAGAGAGAGAGAGAGAGAGAGAGAGAGAGAGAGAGAGAGAGGAGAGCTTTTCTCCCTCTGCTTTCTTCTCCTCTGCCCGTTTCCTCTTTGGTTTGTTCGTTTTTTTAAGTCTAATAAAAATTTCAGAGAATCCCGGGTGCTGTTTGGACTAGAACTCCCATCACCCCCAGCCAGCTCAGGGTTGATTGGATTTGTAGTCCAGCAGGATTCAGGGACCCAAGGTTGATCAACACTGCTGCAGACCAGTAATATCTGGAGGAGACTCCATCACCTAGCCTGTGGATCTCAGGTAGCAAGGCGTGTGGAAATGGTCACAACTCCTGAGGAACTTGGCTTCTTTAATTCTTACCTGTCTTGCAGTTTCTCGTGGTGTGTGTAGACCAGATTTGCATCCAAAATATTGCTTTGATAATGGTATAAAAATCATTGCACTCCTAGGAGTTGCATGTGAGACACTTATGGAGTCTGAACTACCTGTGGACGTTCCACACCCGACGACCGCTTCACAGAAGGAGCAATTTTGCAGGGGTGGAGAAGCCAACCTGGGTCAAAGATCAGAGGCAGAGCCTTCACCTTCCCTCAAATGCAATGCTTGCTTGATAGAGTCCACTTACACATTCATTCGACATGTGGTTTGCTGCCGCAGGCTAGTTTAGGAAGCTGCGTACACCAGCTCAGATCCTTGGTCCATCTAGTTCAGTGCTGCCTACACTGACTGCCAGAGGCTCTCTGGGGTTTCAGGAAGGAGCTGAGCTAGAACCCACAGCACCAAGGTCCAAAAACCTTTCCCTCTGCCTCCCAAGCTAACTAGCTGACCCAATGGTTCAGGGATAGGAGGAGGACAGAAGGGCCTGTTTGCAGGCCAGTGGGAGACGGGGGCCTTAATAGACTGAAATTCTCAAGAGGGATGAAGGCCAGGTGAGGTGGACTGGAGGCAGATGTTCAAAGGCCTTGGTCTACCTCTGGCATTTGGCACCAAGAGCTCACTATGAAGCTGTCCATGGTGCTGACCTGGATGAAACTGCCTTGGAGCAACTTGCTCACTCAGAGCTGTCCATGGTGCTGACTAGGAGAACATTCATAACTGGGAGCTGCCTTGGAGCAACTTGCTCGCTCAGAGCTGTCCATGGTGCTGACTAGGAGAACACTCCTAACTGGGAGCTGTCTGTGGTGCTGGCTGACCTGGAGCACGTTTCTCACTGGGAGCTGTCTGTGGTGCTGCCTCACCCCACTCCAGAGGCTCTCCCGCCATACCAGAACAGGATGCTCTGGATCAAAACACGCGTCCAGCCAATTCTAAAGGGCCACAATGAAGAACCGTGAACAAACTTATCCCGGTCCACATTGGCTGTGCCCGGTGAAACCAGCATTGGTTCAGAGCACATGCACAAAAAATCCCACCTACCATTAATTGATAATCTGCAATGTCATAATGCAACCACTAGGTTGGATAGGTATGGGGAAACATACTGTATTAGCTTTTCATTAACAACAACAAAAGTAATGAAAGAAAGGATGGAAGTCTGTTATTGCCTTGAAAGTCTGTCTTCTAAACCATTGATATGCTGCTGCCTCCTGTCAGGTGGTGGCATATTCCATCCTCCTCTCCTTGATGGCTGTGGACAAAACCATTTCTAATAAAAAAAGGGGGGAAACGATTCCCTCTTCCTCCTCACAGTTCCCAAAATTTATACCTGAGGAACCCCCACCACCACCCTTCTTGTGGTAGAGAGAATTGTCTTTAGGACAAGTTTGGATTGTCGATACCTCTATAAGGAAGGAAGGAAGGAAGGGAATGAAGATCTTTGGTATCCTGGAAAGATTGTTCCTGAAATGATTTGAGAACTGTGTGAACGATGGAGCAAGTTGTTGATAGGCAGGATGGCAGAAAGGAGGAGAGACGAAAGGATGTTGGTTTTGGGTCTTACAAGTCTTCCATCTGCTTCACCTCAGGGATAAAAGGCCAAAGTCAGAACTTCTAGAAGTTGACCAGGCTTTGGGGGAAATGGATCTAACCCCCTGTGCGCTCAAACTATAATCTACCCGGACCAACTGAAATCAATGGCCTCACATATGTCATGTCCTTTAATGGTCCCGTTCAGAGCAGCCCCATTGAAAGTAATGGACGCAAGTAACTCAGGACCATTCATCTCAATGGGTTTGCCCTGCACAGAGAACTTAGCTGGCCATAAACTCGACTGGTTCATTCTGAGCACGGCTTAGTCAGAGACACTCCTGTTCCCACATTTTTCATGGTAAACTTTAAAAAACTGGGCTGGGCTCTTGGACCAGTTATTGCTCACGTGTGGAGCAACCTATGTTATCTCATGACCCTTCGGGCTTATGAGGTCCACGAGATGCCTCAGAAGAGGGCCTCTTTGTCTCAAGGCTGAAAGCCAATTTGGGGTGGTCTGTGACTGGGCAGCCCTATTGTACAAGGGCCAATCTAAATGTGGTCATCATCCGAGGACAGAAATTAAGAAATAATTTGGCTCCTAGCGCCTATTACAGACATAAATATCTGGGATCATTGGCTGTATCCAATAAAATTCTTCTCAAGGATAGACCCACTGAAACTGATGTGCTTCAGCTGCCCCATTAATTTCAAAGGGTCTACTTTGAGTATGACTAATGTTGGCTACAGCCCATAGGGTTGCAGTTGGTGTTAGCCCTACTCGGAGAAGACCTATTGAAATTAATGGGTGTGACTTGGTCAGGTCCATTAATTTTAGTGGGTCTGCTCTGAGCATACATGAATTGGATATAACCCTGTCTGGATCCTAACCCCATCTGGAGACAGGACTAACAGCTGGCTTGCAGATCGATGGGTTTGTTTTCATTCTGAACGTGCCTATGGACCACTTTTCTGGCAAGCATTAAGCACCCTCTCGATTACATTCAAATTCTCTTTGTTCGAGACCACCGTTAATTTTTTTAAGAACTTCTTATGGCCCTCCTGGATTTGATATTTCTGGTGGTGGGTCATTTACACACAGGAGCATGGAAATGCAGAAGGTTGTTCTATGTCACATCAGACCATTGGTCCATCTAGGTCAGCACTGTCCACACCAGTGTGTTCTTCCACCTTGGGTCTCTAGATGATGCTAGACTCCACAACTCCCATCATCCCTGACTAAGCTGCCTGGGGTGATGTCCCAACAACACCTAGGGACCTGAGGCTGAAGAACCCTGGTTGACATGAAACTTGCAGCCTTGAGGATGTTACTGGATGACAGCTCCCATCATCCCCAGAGGGGAGAAATCCTCTCCCAAACCCTGGGGAGCTGCTGGGACCTGACTCAACAACATCTGGAGGACTTCAGGTCTTCGTCATCACCGGTTTACACCGACTGACTATCCAGGGTTTTGGAGATGATTCTTTGCCAGCTGTAGCTGAATATACCAGGGATTGAACCTGTGACCATCTGCATGGAAAGCAGATGAGCTACAGGCCCTGTCGAATTGGAAGGCCTCAGAGACCTGTAAGACACTTTGTTCCTCAGAGATGGAAGAGGTGCGGACACTCATTCTTTAGAACAACTTTCTAAACTACAGAAAGAGGACCTAGAAGCATCGATTCCTGGAGATATTTCTGCCCTGATCTGAGCTTGGTCCAAGAGCCCAATGCGCCGTGGTCAGAGGACAAACATGTCCATGGTGCGTGGTTCCCCTTGACCCAAAATTCACAGTGGGAGAGGTCTATCCTAAAAACGTGATATTGGAAGCGCCCCGGACGATCAGGCCAAAGACCCATCAAGTCCAGTGTCCTGTTCTCACAGTGACCAACCAGATTCCTCTGGGACGTTGACAGATTCTGGGAAGAATTCGCCTCTCGTTCTGTTCCTTAGAGCAGGCTTCCTCAACCTTGGGCCTCCAGATGTTTTGATACTACAGTTCCCATCATTCCTGGCCACTGGTCCTGCTAGCTAGGGATCATGGGAGTTGTAGGCCAAAAACATCTGGAGGCCCAAGGTTGAGGAAGCCTGCCTTAGAGGATGAGCTGAGCTCTGCTGGATCAAGGAGGCCAATGTGGTCACAGAAGCCAGCCATATGTCCCAACAGGAAGCTTACAATTGGGACCTCAGCTCAACAGCAACCCTCCCTCCCTGCCGTTTCCAGCAACCGGTATCAATGCGGTTACGGGTTCAGTGGAACTTTACTTGTTATTTTGGGCAGATGATTGTCTCTTTCTCTTTATAAAGACACTTGTGATTGGATGCTAAAAGGGGCACGGGCAGAGCAGGGTGGAGGAGCTGATGTTTGCTTGCTGGAAAGGCAGGGACCGTGTTGGGTTGGTGTTGGCTGAGGCACTATTCCTTCGTTGTGGCCAACTCCAGCCCTCTTGCCCTCACTCTGCTCCCAAGCTGTTGGGGCCAGTTGGTCCAGCTAGCCCAGTAGCACTGACACCGACTGTCAGCGGACCTCCGGGGTTTCAGAAATGGTGTCTATCCCCAGCTGGAGCTGGATCAAACCAGGGGGGCTTCTACATGCGAAGCTGGTGTTCCACCACTAAGTTGAAGATTGCATAAGGATTCTGGTCCTCATGATCTCGAATGAAGAGCTGGATTTCAACAGGGACCTAGGAAGCTGTATTGTACAGAGCTGGGCCATTGGTTCCGTCTAGCTGAGTGCTGCTTTCCTGGTTTTCGGACGTGGGGGAGATCCCCAGCCCTGCCAGGGGTCTCCTACACACGAGGAGCTCCAGCCCTTTTCTCTCACCTCGGATAAGCACCGTCCTCGTTGTCGTTCGACAACGCACAGACAGACAATACGGAAGAAGAAGAGATGGTGGGAGAAACGAGAAAGGAGGGGGGGAAAGGAAGAGGGTCAACGGTCACATGAAACGGATCCGGCCCATGCACAGACCTTTCGTCAAGTCGAAATGAAATCTTTTGTCAGACAAACAACACATCAATTCCCTCCTCCCTCGCCCGCCCCGCCCACCCTCCCACCCCCTCAATAATTATTACGTTACTTCAAGAAAGAGTATATTTTGTTTTCCATGCATAAATCAAATTTCCATTTCATCTCTCTATTTTTTGGTCTTTTTCTTCTTCTTCTTCTTCTTAAATTACAATTTAACACATAAACACATATAATAAATACTCTCGTAAGACATGACTCAGCAGGAGAGGAGAAGAAAAGAACAACATCCCCGAAAGCAACAGGTATTAGTATTATTTTGTGATTTTTTTTTCTTTTAAAGGACTCGTTTAAATATGAAATCTGTAAACGCCAAGGAACCTTCGTTTCCCTCTCTTCGTCTCTCTCCCTCTTTAAAAAATCATGAAACGAACCAGTTTTCCCTTTCCCTTTTCTTAACATTCAATACGTCTCCCAATGAGGATCTTAACATAATTACAACATGCCGCCCTCTGCAAAAAAATTATAATTTAACAGTATAAAGCTTCAAGTTGCAAATTCCAAAAACTAGCTAAGTAATTATTATTATTATCATCATCATTATTTTTTTTGTCACATAAACTATACATTAAATATTTATTTTATTTTATTTTTGAGGTATTTCAGAGAACATTGTCAAAAGTCTTGCCAGGTTTGTGATGGAGAGAGAGGCGGTGGGTCGGGTCGTTTGGCTGGGTTTATGCAAAGGGTTGTTATTTTTTCCTCCTGAGCGGAGAATTTCTTTGGTATCAACAAGGCTATTTGGGTGTTGGGTCAAAAGATGGAGGGGGTGTGATTTAGCTTGGGATAGAGGGGTCTTGGGAGAGAAGGTGGGTCGGTCGCATGTGTTCTGGGGGGTCTGACACCTACAACCCATGAAAGGTGAGGATAACGCGAGAAGAAACATCAATTTCCTTTTTCCAACTCAGGTGGAGATAGGTTCTGGAGAACCTCAAACGAGACCTGCTGGGTGAAGCCAAATTCCCATCAAGTCTAGCCACCTGTTCTCTTGGTAACCAATCAAGATTCCTTCAGGAAGCTCATGGGCAGGACATATAGGGAACAGCTGTTCTCTGTCTCTTTCTCTCTGTGTTCTTCATAAGAACATCTGGAGAGCCCTGGACAACAATTGCGCACTGGCAACGGCGAACAGGTTTCAGCTCCTGCTCATCCGTTGACTTCCAAGGTGCTTTGAAGACCCAAACTTTGGAGCTTCAAAGCACCTTGAACCAGGCAGGTTGGAGACCCTACAAGGCTCTCCAGGGTCCCACAGAATGTGACAGAGAGATGTTTGGGACCTGGACCTGCAAGCAGATCATGTTCTCTGCCACTGAGCTATGGAGTCTCTTCTCACCCGATTCATTGGTACAGACAAAGTTCCAGAACGTTAATATCCATGAATGTTAAGAGCCCAATAAGCACATTTTGGTTCTTGTGCGCATTCGCAGGCACTCAAGTTGGGGAGGAAGAATTAGTCTCTTGGGCAGTTGGGCGAGAAGGGAGGGACAAGGAGGGAACAAGGGGTAGACTGGCCTTCTGCCCCATCACCCAAAAGCAAACGAGAGTAGCCGGGATCCATCCCATTAAGAGAACTGAGGTAAGTTACTGTGTGAGTTTATAGGACAAAGAAACGTGGTCTACCACCTTTGGTACAAGAAAAGGCACTCTATCACTCTAAAGATCATGTTCTCTCTCTCTCCTCTCTCTCTCTCTCTTTGTCTCTGTCTGTCTGTCTTTCTCTCTGGGGGGGGGGAGCAATGGAAAGAGCAAGATATGGGGGTCTGGGGAAGGAAGAAGGTTGGCTACAACATCTATGGGTCATGGTGGGTGACATAACCATCTAGGGATGATTATGGCGGTAGCGTGGGAACGAGGATAAGGAAGGTTGGGGGAGTTTAGGGGTGGGTGTGTTTAGATTCCACCACAAACCAGGCAAGGGGAACAAATCTTTGGTATCAGGTGTGATTCTCAAATCACGAAAAACTCGAAAACTCAAGTGAGGTAGCCTATATTTTTTTGGGTCTCACTACAAACGTCTTTTTTTTTTTTCACGCTTGGGGGGCCAGTCGCTCGTCGACAGCTTCCTTGTCCTTGGGGTGCTCTCTTTATTTATTTTTTAGCCAAGGTCAGGCCCCCGTTTATTACCTTTCTTCTTTTATTTTCTGGCGTGGCTTCTCAGCCCTTAAATACTCCACAAAATCAGGTACAGAAATCCACTGTCTTCGCCCTCCATCGTCCGTTAGCGTCGACACGTCACGACAAAGACAAGACAGGATTGGGGGGAATAGGGGGCGCTTGGAGAGGGGGGTGGACACTGGGCGGAGAGGGAAATATATATATTTGCTTCCCTTATCCTTTCGCACCCTATCTTCCTCCTTTGGCAAAACACAGCTCTGCATTTGCTACATTCCCCTCCTTCCGTCGTCTGTTTGGGTTGGTTCAACCATCTCTCCCCTGCTCACACCCTGATGGTCACACCCGCTCAATAGATTGGGGCATAATTTTGGGGGTGGGTGGGTGGGTTTCTGGTTAAAGTTTCTTCTCTTTTCTTTTCAAAGTTCATCCTCCTTTCGAATCAAATAATATTATCCGATGGTGTGGCTTTCCTCCTTCTCCTCCTCGTCGTTCCACAAGTCGCCTAACCGTGGATTCAACACTTCGCCTTCAACGTAAAGTGAACAGGGGGGGAAAGACCTCCACACAGACCGTGCTATTTGTACCCGCATCAATTTGGTATTGTCCCATTAAAAATCAAAAACAAGAAGACACACAGACACATGGACGCACAGACACACAAAGAAACCCCCACGTTTGCTGGGGAGGTGGCGAGGGTGAGATTCTCTTGCCCCCTGGGCTTCTCGACGTCATCTCCTCTTCGGCCCTTTGGGTTCAAACTTTGGGGAGGCTTGGCTCGCGAAAGTGTCCCTCATCCTCTTTTGACCCCGCCATTGTCTCGTTTTATTTCACCTTTGCAAGTCACTCGTGATTCATGGTGCCGGCCCCTGTTGAGGACAACGCTCCTTCCAGAAATGAAGAAGAGAATCGTGGTGTATCTATCTTGTAATTTACTTATTTTTTAAGGCAGGCTGTTAATTGGCACACATTCACCCATGCACACACTCAAATAGTCAGTTATCTTTCATACGTTGCCAGAGATCCATTTAATTTTTTTGAGCTTGTTGTAGAGTTTTTCTTTTTCCAGGAGCAGAGGGGTGGAATGGGGACAGGGGGTGGTTGAGAAGGAAGTTTGCATTTCTCTCCACCCACAATGTCGATCCGTACTTAAATATATCTCTGTTCTGCAAGCAGATTCGCAATTGGGGCCTCCGTCCACCAATCCAGTTCTTATCATATCGGTCATTTCCCCACCTCTCTCTGTCGATAGCAGGATAAAGGAGGCGGGGGCCTTGGAGGTACGCTGCGAGGAGATGGACAGAATCGGTCCAATCTGGGGCTGTCTTCTGGAATGAAACCAAGGTCAAGACAGAAGGCGAGACGGCGGTCCAGCGTCCGGAAAAAAGAACGGAAATCCTGTCCTCTCCTTTCCTTTGGTTTCGTTAAAGCTTTTCGTTTTCCTCTCTCTCTCTTTTTAAATACCCGAATTATGTACCTAAAATGTGCTTCGTGACCCGCTTATATTTTCTCTCTCTCGAGGTGACACAGTGCAACTTAGCTTTAGACCCCCCCGCACGACTGATTCCAGGGGGGAGGAAGGGGGTATTTTTTCGTGTGAGTTGCTACTCTCCCTCTTCCTTTCCATACTTTGGCTTGGAATTCCTTTGAGAGGAACCATTGATAGAACAAGAACAAGAAGTCTTCTCTTCGGCTGATTCTCCTACACTTTTTGGTTGCTCATTTTTTTTCTTTTTGGTAGACGTGAATCATGTTGTTGTGCAGTTGTATACTCATGGAGGGGTTGGTTTGGAGAGTAACGCCTTCTGTTCATGAGCTGCGTAGACGATGGGATGCAAGGAAAGGTGTTGAGCAGGTGAGTGGGGAACAAATGTGCGTGAGGACAGCATGGTAATGTTTTGGTGATGCTTGCAAAGATGGTTCTCCATGCTTTCCCCATGTTGGTCCTACGAATGCCATACTCATTACTGGTTTTTTTATTATTTTAAAAAACTTCTCAGCCCCCTTACGCATTTTTGTTTGCAAACTGAGAAACACCCCATAAACACCATTCATGCAGGCCACCATTGATTCCACTCGCCATTGCCTAGGATGCAACAGCTTGTCCCCAAACGAATTGCAAACCGTTCCCACGCGACACGGTCGTTTGCCTTTTCCCTGCCCCGCATCCAAAAGGGCTGTTATCAGCTTCGCAACAATGACCCTCGTTTGAAATGGAGCTGTGGGGGCAGGGGCAGGGGTCTGGAAACTTGGGGGCTCAGCTGTGTCCTAGAATGCAAGACCATTGCTGGTGCCAAGGTAGCCATGGTAGGAAAATAGAAAGCTACCTAATACTGAGACAGACCATAGGTCCGTTTCACTCAGCACTGTATACACTGACTGGCAACAGCTCTCTGGAGATTTCAGGCTGGGAATTTCCCCCAGCCATGCCTGCAGATGCCTGGTATTTATTTATTTTTTGCATGCAAAGCAAATGCTTTACTATTGAAAGGTGAATGGTCTAGGGGTTGAAACCCAGGGACAGGGAAAGGGCAGAAGGAAGGTGTACCAGTTTGACATGGTTACATGGTTACTTGCCCTCCCAACAATTGCCCAGTGCTGGCCTGTGTTTAAGGCATCCAGCGCACACTCAGTTGGCCAAGGCACCCACCAACCCTCAGCGATATGGCTTTCGCCTCCCCCATAATGGGGACTTCAAAACAGACTTCCTTGAAAACGTCTGCAATTAAACCAGCCCCTTAATCCCCTTGCCCAGCCATCAGAATGGCACAACACCCTCTGGGCTGGGTGCTTGTTTGTTTGTTTGTTTATGGGGCAAGTGGCATCTCTCACCTAAGCCAAAGATTTTGGGGCTGCTAGTGAGATGGCGCCAAGCAAGTGACCCTCTGCAAATCAGGCACCAGCTTTCAGAAGGCGGCCGGAGGCAAGGGCTCTTGTGCATCTCAGACGCATGGCAGTTGTGCATCTAAGACGCATGGATGCTCCCAGAGCTCTAGCAGCATCCCAGTTGCACCTGGTGTGGATGGCTGTGCTTGAGGTATGAGTGGCTGGTTGCTCAAGGTGTGCGCATGGCGGTGAGGAGAAGGAAAGCCAGCATGGAGAAGGCGATGAGTTTTTTGGCTGCTGTGTGGTGTTGGACAAGAGTGGGGAGATGTAGGGAGAGGGTGAGAAGGAGGAGGAGATCATGCTTTGGAAAAAGTGCTTGTAGATGAAGAGGGAACGCCGGGGTTGGCGCCCGGGTCTTCCTGCCAACGGTTCATGCACCTCCGGCGAGCGTTCATGAAGAAGTTGCTAACGGTGTTGAGTTCCAGGCCCAGCTGCTGCGAGATGGTCATCTGCATTTCCTTGGAAGGCCGCTTGTTCTCCTTGAAAATGGCGATCAGGGTGCGGCGCTGCAGGTCCGTGAAGACGAGGCGCTGCTTCTTCGGCTGTAGGTTCCGGTCCTTCTGCTGCTCCTGTTCTTTACGTTTGCATGCTATATGTCATTGGAGGAGGAAGAGGAAGGGGCCAGGAAGCAGGGAGGGGAAGGAGGAGGAGACAAAAGAACACAGCCATCAAACGGGGGCAGAACAATGCTTCTTCCAACTTTTTGGGGGGCCCTCCCCCACACAGAGGACAACAAATCTGCTCTGACCCTTCCCCTGGCAAGAGACCCCACCCCATAAATTGGTACTTCTGTGGTCCTTCATTAAGGCTACAGCGGAACCTCGGTTTTCAAACGTCTCGGAAGTCAAACACTTTGACTTTTGGACGCCGAAAACCGGAAAGTGACTGCGGTTTTCGAACGCTTTTCTAAAGCCGAATGTGACACGCAGCTCCCGTTTTGAGTTTCCCGTCAGCAAACGCTTCCGGAATCGAAGCTGCTTCAGTTTTTGAACGTTTCGGAAGTCGGATGGTCGTTTGGTATGGCTTACGTCCATAAACCGAGGTTCCAGTGTATCTGTGTTCTGTATTCTTTTTTTTTTTTTAGAAAAAGGATTCGCCCAGTTTTCCCCATTGCCTACAGATGGTGCAAATCTTACATTTGGACAGAACCTCCAGCTTCTTTGGCCAACCTCTGAACGGTTATCAAACCCCTTGCTCAGCAGCCCGTACCGTTTAACAATCCATCCCTCTTCTCAGAGATCTCTGGGAATTCTGTGAGGGGAATGGGGAGGGTTTCTTGATAAACTCTCAGCACCCTTAAACAAACTACTTCTCCCAGAATTCGTTGGAGGAGGAGGCCATGGCTGCTAAAGTGATATTATATAGTGCTTTAAATTGTAGAGTTGGAAGCAACCTTCAATGGTTATCGATTCCAACCCCCGTGCAATGCAGGAACCACATCTAAAGATTCCCTGACAGATGACCAACCAACCTCTGTCTTAAGACCTCCAAGGATGGAGAGTCTATCAACTTCCTAGAGAGTCCATTCCTAATGTTTAGCTGGAATATCCTTGCTTATCATTTGAACCTACTGGTTGGGGTCCTACTCTCTGGGGCAGCAGAAAACGAGCTTGCTCCGTCTTCCAAGTCTTCCCCTTCAGATACAGTGGTACCTCGGGTTACATACGCTTCAGGTTACAGACTCCGCTAACCCAGAAATAGTACCACGGGTTAAGAACTTTGCTTCAGGGTGAGAACACAAATCGTGCGGCGGCAGCCGGAGGCCCCATTAGCCAAAGTGGTGCTTCAGGTTAAGAACAGTTTCAGGTTAAGAACGGACCTCCGGAACGAATTAAGTACTTAACCCGAGGTACCACTGTATTGGAAGACGGCTATCAAATCTTCGCCAGGCTAAATGTACCCACCTCCCTCAACCGTTCCTTATGACTTGGTTCCCAGAGCTTTCTGGTGTGTAGTGCTGATGCGTCCTCTGTCTCCAAACATCATTAGTTATTAGAATTAGTATGAATTTTAATTATTAGTATTTCTCTCTCTCTCTCCCTTTTTCTATTTTTTTTTTAATGTTGAGCGACTCTCTCTCTCTCTCTCTCTCTCTCTCTCTCTCGTGTCTTTTCCTTTTTTTATTTTTTAAAGATTGGGCGAAGCTTTGGCTGTTTCTCCATCCAAACACCCCCAGCAGAGGAATTAAAAAACCTACCCTATGACCGTCAGATGCTTGCAAGGAAAACAAATAAAAGATATAAACCTTTTTGGCACATCAACAGGTAATATTTACTCATTATTTAAAATTCATCTTTTTAAAAGTCATTTTTTTATTTTAAAAAAAAAACACACACACACGAAAATTTCAGAAAGCTTAAAAACGGAAAGGGGAAAAAAAACAAGATTCGCAAAATTAGAAGCTGGGTCAAAGCATTTGCGACAGGCAAACCACCCGCCACCAATTCCTTCATCCCTTCTCCCCAGCCCACAACCCTCCCCCTCCAGCAGCTTTCCCATCAACTCCCAACAGACAAAATCAATTTGGTCATTGGTTTTCCATGTATGCATTGGCGTCACCAGTGTTCCAGTTGAGAGCCAGTGTGGTGTAGAAGAAGAAGAAGAGTTTGGATTTGATATCCCGCCTTTCACTCCCCTTCAGGAGTCTCAAAGCGGCTCACATTCTCCTTTCCCTTCCTCCCCACAACAAACACTCTGTGAGGTGAGTGGGGCTGAGAGACTTCAGAGAAGTGTGACTGGCCCAAGGTCACCCAGCAGCTGCATGTGGAGGAGCGGAGACGCGAACCCGGTTCCCCAGATTACGAGTCCACCGCTCTTAACCACTACACCACACTGGCTCTCTCAATGAAGGCACCAGGCGAACCTTCTGAACATGTGCAGAGTGCGTCCCCTGTTACAGATGACGAAACCACCACCCTTCTTCACGGGGCTACTCTCTGGACAGAGTGAATCTCAACATCTCTCATCTTAAGCACAGATACAAGTAAATCTCAAATAAATTCTTCCCTTCCTTTTGGAGGGGGGTTGGGGTGTGATCTCTCTCTCTCTCTCCTCCAAGAAGCGGCTTAACATGTCCCTTTGCAATTCAATATAATTACAGCTCAGCAGAGCAGGGATCAATAGCTGCTGTAGTCGGATCTATACACAAGAGCACCACCAAAGCCTCTCTTCATATTTCTCATTCTTTGTGTATGACGGTCTAGGCAGCCTTTGGTCTAGCCGTTCACGGGCTCCAGGGGGCATTTGTGTTGAAGGCCACTATGTTCCTCCGCTCCACAGACTCGCCGGGGTCTTCCCTCTTCGACAAAAGGTAGGGTTAAATAACACGGTGAAGCTTCGCTTACAGCTCCAGCTGCATGCGATTCTACTTAGAGTAGACTGATTGAAAACAATGGTGAACCTGGGCCCAGTCATTTCAGTGGGTCTGCTGCTGCAAATAGGACTTAGTTGGCTACAGCCTAATATCTATCTATCATCTATCTATCTATCTATCTATCTATCATCTATCTATCATCTAAAGCCTAATCTCTCTCTCTCTCATCTATCTATCATCTCTGTCTGTCTCTCTGTCTGTCTGTCTGTCTATCATCTATCTATTTATCATCTATCTATCATCCATCTATCTATCTATCTATCTATCTATCTATCTATCTATCTATCTATCATCTATCATCTATCTCAGTGTTTCCGAACCTTGGGCCTCCAGCTGTTTTTGAACTACAATTCCCATCATCCCTGACCACTGGTCTTGCTAGCTAGGGATGATGGGAGTTGTAGTCCAAAAACAGCTGGAGGCCCAAGGTTGGGAAACACTGATCTATCTATCTATCTATCTATCATCTATCTATCATCTATCTATCTATCTATCTATCTATCTATCTATCTATCTATCTATCTATCTCTATCTATCTATCTATCTATCTATCTATCTATCATCTATCTATCTATCTATCTATCTATCTATCTATCTATCTATCATCTATCTATCTATCATCTATCTATCTATCTATCTATCTATCATCTATCTATCTATCTATCTATCTATCATCTATCTATGTCTGTCTATCTATCTATCTATCTATCTATCTATCTATCATCTATCTATCTATCATCTATCTATCTCTATCCTCTCTTTCTCTCTGCTCCTGCCAACCTAGCAGTTCGAAAGCACGTCAAAGTGCAAGTAGATAAATAGGTACCGCTCCGGCGGGAAGGTAAATGGCATTTCCATGTGCTGCTCTGGTTCGCCAGAAGTGGCTTAGTCCTGCTGGCCACATGATCCGGAAGCTGTATGCCGGCTCCCTTGGCCAATAAAGCGAGATGAGCGCCGCAACCCCAGAGTCGGCCACGACTGGACCTAACGGTCAGGGGTCCCTTTACCCTTTTTACTAGGAACATATGATTCAATCTGAGACAGATTGAATTGTATCATAGTGAGAGGCTCACACGAGCCTGCAACCAGCTCTCTGCTGTGCATGTAAAAAGGGTGGGTGTAACTCTGCTCCATAAAGGAACTTGATAGCGCAAGTTAGGAAGGATATTAATAAACAATATATCCTCTCCTGCCACCCTGAACATTCCCACAACTGGCAGTGACCCTCCAGAGTCTCAGGGTCAGAGATCCCGGGGACTGACTCTGACACCATCTGCGTGCAACATGCAGGCTCCACGGCAAAGACAACCTCTCTCTACTCTTCACAAACCTGCCTCGCACAAAACAACGGTCTGCTGTCCTCCATCTACCTCAGTTCTTTCTTCTGCAAGTCTCCGGGCAAAGAAGAGAAAGAAGAAAAGTAAAGGGGGAGCGGAGAGGAGAATAATTGTTTCTAAAAAGAAGGGGGTTTGTAATGGGGGAATAGAGGGGGCCAGCCATTGATAGGCGGCGATTGTCTCTCCCTGTGGGAGCTCCTCTCAGCATTTCGGTGACTAAATATTCCTGATGCCTCCCTGCAGGGCGAAGGTGCTGAGAGACCCAGCACCAGTTTCCCCATTGTAGCCCTAAATGCATCCGTTTATCCTCAGTCCCCTTTGCAACGCAGCCTGCAGTTTTCTTCCCTGCACACAGCTACACACATGCATGCAATTGCATGGCTATTACTCAAGCGACAACAATTTAGGCAAACGACAAAAGGTTGGCGATACGAGGTGGGCTGGCTCTGGTTGTTTGTTAACAAGAGGGGGTGTTTTTTGTTCCGTGTGTTGACAGCAACAACATAGTGGTTTTTGCACAAAGGCGAAGACTCCTGGAAGCGACGGGAGTGCGTGGCGGATCAATGGCCGCGAGATCGAGGCCCGGTCATAGAATCATGGAGCTGTAGACTTGGAAGAGACACACACACACACACCTTCCAGGGTCATTTAGACCCTGAAATGCAGAAATCACAGCTAGAAAATGCTGTGACGTAAACAGGACCCCTGGACGGTTAAGTCCAGTCAAAGGCGACTCTGGGGTTGTGGCGCTCATCTCGCTTTCAGGCCGAGGGAGACAGTGTTTGTCCGCAGATAGCTTTCTGGGTCATGCGGCCAGCAGGACTAAAACACGTCTGGCGCATGGCGGAAACCAGAGTGCACGGAAACGCCGTTTACCTT